ACACACATGACACAAGACACGTCGGTGGTCGGGGCGCCTCGCCGGTCACTGGTCAAGTGGTCACTGGTCGTCGTAACACAGCGCAGTGGTCACTGGTCGCCGGCGCGTCGGTCAACGGTCAGACGCCGGTCACTGATCGTCGGTCACTGGCTACTGGTCATCGGTCAGCTGCTCTCAGACCGTCGGGTGGGGGTTCGTGGGGCGCCCAGGAGGAGAGGGGAAGAGGGGACTTCCCAGGAGGAGAAGGGAATTAGAGGGGAGCGGGAGGCACGAGGGACGCTCCAGGTCACCGCCCGGTCAGTCTTAGCATCACTGTGGTACTCCGTACGTCGGCCGGTCCATGCCGACTGGTCCCGAAGTGAGAGTGTTGGTCTTGTCAAAGGTCGGGGCAGATGACCAGCGGTACCGTAGTGAAGTAAGTCATACAAAGCGTACGGCGCCGGTGGCATCGGCGCCCAACGCGCGTATACGCGTGAGGTGAGCTGGTGAGAGGAGTGAGCTGGTGAGCTGGTGAGACGGTGATAGAGTGAGCTGGTGAGAGGCCCCGCAGGACGGTGGGGCCGCCGCACTCTCCACCCCAGCCTTTTACGGTCAAAGCGCCCGTGTGGGTAACAGGTGAAACGTTACGAAACCCGGCCCGATGCGGCACCAAGAGACAGTTCCAGGCCGACTCCTCGGTCGAGATTGAGATAGTAATCAGAAGGGGTAGGCATGTGCAAACTATGAGGATCATGTAGGTTATCGACGCGAGTTGATTATTGAGTCCGTCAATGGTACAGGCTCAAAAGTAAAGCAGCTGTAGTCTTGTAGTAACTTACGGACCACATAACTCGCGGACTTCCCCTAGCCGGCACGCAACAACCAAACATTTCCATAGGTCTCGCAGTTACAGATATGAGAAACAGTGTGTGTGATTCGCTATGCGACACTGTTGCTAATTACGGACACATCGAAATCGCCAGTCGTGACATCGATGCGATGTTACGACTGAAATAAACGCATTCCCTTCACCGGTGTGTATAACGTTTTGGTTACTGGTCATCGTAGGCTGATTAACAAATCCCCGCTACGCCGCTGACGAGTCTGTTTAGTAGTAGGCAGGGCATGCCGCCAATTGGTGGACGATCTGTTTGTGCTTATGTATATATATATATTGTTTGTCTTGTGTACATATGTATATGATTATTGTCGCGACCCCCATCGATGGATGACTGTCGTCTAGTGCTGAGTGTTCTTCCCCCTGCCCGCATGATTGTTACCCATTATACTCGGATCTAAGCCGTAATCGCCACGCCATATGTGGAAGGCTTTTGGTGTCAATACATACATACATACATATACATATAATCAACCAACTGACGGGTGGAAATGTTCCCGGACAGTTTTCTGTTTCAACTTTCAAGCCACGGCAGCCGACAGCACATTTGGACATGAATGAATGGTAGCTGCTCGGTTATTGCCTCACCGTGCAGACACAAGCTCGGATTGTTTGCACTTACCGATCAGCTGATCACTCGGTCTCCAGGGCAACGATCCGAGCTTTGGGCACTGGCAAACGACCCTGCACGCACTGTAGCACTGGGATCGCAGTCTCGCACGCCGGGATCCACGGTAAATCTGTCGAATTCGTCCCGTGCTGCGCGGGACCGCGGAGCGCCGACTGACCCACTTTCTTATCCAATACACACTGGTGACTGCCGGCCGGCCGCCGCCGCCGATTTTCACTTCTGCCCGGCGCCTCTATGGTGCTGCCGCATAGCGGCGAGGAGGTGCACTGCAGCCTCACAAATCGGCCGCAGGCTAGGAGGCATTGCTTAGGCCGCTTAGGGTGTAGGTATAGGGCCGCTATAGGGTGTATTAGGCCGCTTAGCAGTGACGTACCCAAGGGGGGCACGGGGGCCATGGCCCCCTCCTGAGCGCCGGCCTCTGAGCGCGCGTCTCGGACTGTTCGACCACGTGGTGTTTGCTTCTTTCCCCGGGTCTGTCCCACCACCCCTCCCTCCCTCTGTTTAGGGGCCCCTCAGGCCCCGGTATATTTTTTTTAAACACTGGATAAAACGTCTTTTACTAGGAAGAAAAAATGATATCAAAGTTTCATTTATGTGCCCCTGGTTACCCGAGGGGCCCGTGATGACCTGATGGGCCCCTGCAGTCATCCGAGGGCCCCCGGTTTCCCTAGAGAAAAAACCATTAGAAACCATTAGGATTTTCTAATGGTTTCTAATGGTCTTGAATGGTCTCTAATGGTTTTTGATGGTCTCTAATGGTATTCTAGTGGTTTCTGATGGTTTTCTAATGGAAATTGATGGAGCTCTAATGGTCTCTAATGGTGTCCTAATGGTTTCTAATGGTCTCCAATGGTGTTTGATGGTTTCTAATGGAATTTGATCTGATGGTCTAATGGTTTCTGATGGTTTCTAATGGTCTTCAATGGTGTTTGATGGTTTCTAATGGAATTTGATCTGATGGTCTAATGGTCTAATGGTCTCTAATGGTATTGTTATGGGTTCTGATGGTCGCTAATGGTTTCAAATGGTGTACTTGGTGGTCTAATGGTTTCCTAATGGTTTTCAATAGTTTTGATTTTGGGCTCCAAACGGGTATTCTTATGGTTTCTGTTGGTGTTCTGATGGCATCTTTTCATTTATGATGATTTCAAAATTGTGATGGTCTAATGGTGTTCTAATGGTTTTTAATGGTCCTGTAATGGCTTTTTATTGATCTTGAATATGTTGTTAAACACTAACTGTGCTTTATTATGTAAGGAGTGCTGCATCGACAGCGAACTGAACGATCGCTTTGAAACTTTCAGAGTTTGATAAGGGTATCAGCAGGCATAAAATGAATATCTCGGAATTCTGCTATCTGTGACCTATGGTCAGGTCAATTTTGCAACCTATTCAGAGATTTTTTTATTAATTTTTTATTGTCGTTTGTAGCACACATTCATACTGGGTTAGTGCACTATATACACGGCAGTGATACGAATCGTTTTCGGCACCCGCTACGCGGGACAGCCTTGACCGCACGCTTCCTGTCACGCACCCCAGGTGGCACCGCACTGGTGCGCACGCTGGGGCTATCCCGATTTCTCGGGCCCGGCAGGTCAGAGGGCTGCTCCGGGACATGAGGCGAGGCCGTGCCCTCGGGACATGTCACCGGACCGAAGGATCTGTTTAACCCTATTCCTGGCCGGGGGGGCCTCAGGAGCCCCCCCCCCCCTGAGGTTTTTTGGTTATTTCTCCCAAACGCGTTGAGCTAGGAAGCTCAAATTTTCTGACTTTTCCTAAAAGGCTTCTACGCAACATGTCTGAAAATTTTGAGTTGATCTGACCTCAGGTCAGGTCACCAGAGGCGGTTTGGTGACCCTACCTCAGAAAAGTTTGCAATCACGCCAGAGCTAGAGTTTTTGACCGATCAATTTCTTCTCTTCAGGCTTTAGTTAGGGTACCAGTATGTGCAATTTGTATATCTCGGAATTTTGATATCGGTGACCTAAGGTCAGGTCAGTTTCGCGACCTCCCCATTATAAGTCAATGGGGGAAAAATCAACTCCCTGTTTTTACCACTAAAACGGGTCGGAATGGCCCCATATACCATACATGACTTCATATACGATCAACCTTCACTACCTTGAGGTCTGTTTTGCTGTTGAGCAGCTGTGAGGTCATGTGACGTCATCAAAGGTCACCAAAGGTTTTTGGCCAATAACTCCGTACAGGAACAAGATACAGACGCGTGGATGGTCTCATTGTGTTCAGCTCGTCAAGACGCATCGAATGATATACATGATGACCTCGAGGTCACGTGACCTGAGGTCAACCTTTGACCTTGACCTTTCGAGGTCAACGTATATATCATTCGATGCGGATTGACGAGAGGATTACGATGATGCCCTTAGTTTGTTCCTATCTTGACTAATTCGAAAGTTATTCGAGAAAAACTCTCTCCATATCTAGCGCCGTTTTGACTTTTTCGACCTCTGTGACGTCATCTTTGACCTGACCTGAAAATGACCTTAGTAAAAATTGTAGATCTTGACCGTGCGTATCCGATGCCGTTTACCGTTTGTCGCTGCGATGTGTAGTTATTGAGATCTGAAGGGGGGGGGGGCCGAATCGGCCCCCCCCGCCAGTTTCTTGTCCCGGCGGAGCCCGCCAGGAATAGGGTTAAAGGCGGATCAGGCCCGTGTACCTGCGGCCGGGGGCACTGGCTGGCACAGCGGTAATCCCCACGACCGAGCGAACACTCCCCAGTTACTGCCATCTCCTGGGTAGGAGCCGGCCGAGGAAAACGCTGCCAGAGGTCAGCTTTGATCCAAGGACCTCCCACACCAAACGTGAACGAACCTTTTCAGAGATAGAGACATGCTACATCGATTAAAATACCTCATACAGATGTGTAGCATGACGATAAGGATCAACTGCTAATGCAACATGACCTTCCAGTAAGGTCATGACCTTAACTTTGTCGAGTTATTTCGATGCATCTCGTCGAGATGAATACGATGCTGGCAAAATAAATGTGCCTTCCTTGAGTGAAAAGTTATGAAAAAAACACATTTTTCATAAAGATAGCTATTTTATAATTTTTGCCCTCTGGAGGCTTCATTTAGTTCAGATCTGAGGACACATTCCAGAAAGAGGGTTAACCCGGCGGCTGCTGGGCCTCTGCGGCACCGCCCAAGATTACTTTACTACCTACTAGTGATGTTAATTACGGAAAATCGGAATACCGATACCAAACCAATACCAAACCAAATACCAACCAAAACCATGGGGAAATACCGAAACCAAACCAACTTGGGAAACTGAGGGAAATACCAACTTTTTACCGATTTCTTAGTCTCTTATACGTTAGTGAGGGCTTATGATACCAACAAAATCCTAAACACATTACTGATTACGATTGAAATACCAAATACCAAGTTGGTATCGGTTTGGTATCGGTATACCAAAAAGTTGGTATCCGATTGACATCTCTACTACCTACTCGAAAAGAGCTATCGAATGCGTTTTCCTGCGGCGTTGCAGGCTTTATTGGCTCCCGAGTTCTGCTCCGGATTGTCAAAATTTGTTAAGAAATGGCAAAATTTGATCTTCTGATGACCTCTGGTGACCTGACCTTTGACCTATTAGTGTTTTATTATATAACTGGCCTATTATATCATTGACCTGTTATTGACCTATTAGTATTTTAGAAGCATTTTCTCCATTATTTTTTACGGTTATTCGAATGCCGCATACCGCGTTTTGCGGCAACTTATGCGGTTTTCCTGCCTGGGAGATCATGAAACATCATTGTCAGTAACTCACCAATAAATCACCTGATTCAGAGGAACCAGTGTGTTAAAGAACACAACTCGCCTAATTCCGAGGATGCTTAAGGAATAATAAAGAATGAAGAACAACAATGGGCAAAGGGCAAATCTTTTCAGTTTTATTTGCCGCTTGTGAAATTTTTGTTTACAATTCGCGTCGTTCTCGTCCTTCTGTGCTGCTTTAATTATGGGTATCTTGGCTTTAATGATCGGTGAAACGGTGTTACCTGAGAAAGATTCCGCTGTTTTTTACCGCCATAAGTGTTATTAATTATGCAGTGTTTTGTAGTTAAAGTGTGTTTACTTTGTGTGCGTGAGAACGTTTGGAGATGCCTCGCCGTGCGGGCCAAAAGGGCTCGGGATGCGAACGCCGTTGCCCAGCGCCGTCGCCGTAAACGGCTAGCGCAGACGCGGCGCGAGACCGAAGCGTTGCGGAACGCTGAGCGTCGCCGTGAGCGTCGTAGAGAGACCCGAGAGACCCACCGCCAGCAGGAGAGGAAGCGCCACGAGAACCGAGAGGAGGGGGAAGAGCAGACTGGTCAGTCACCTGCACACCTTGGAACCGGATTCAAGGGTGTGGGACGAAGCAAAGGCTCACCCCCCAAAAATTGCCATCAGAACTGAGAAGTAAGTAATGTTTAATGTGCCTAATATAGGTACATAGTGCATATGTTACAGGCCGTATGAAACTTAACGTGAGGCTTTCAAATTGAAGCTTTTTTCACGCAATGTAGGTGCTTGTTTGGGATTATTCATCCAATTTTCAAACAAATCCATTCACTTTCAGCTCAGTTGTGCATCTTGACGCGACCCCATCGTTTTCAGTACCTAACTTTCTCGAGGCGCTCGTGGAATGCCAGCGCGGCTTCCTTGCAGTTGCGCATCTGATCGACGGTGATCCCTGGGAAGGCGGCTCTAGCCCGACCTTACAACTCCAGAATGTTCGCTGACCACGTCACGTATACCTTCGACTCCACAAACCCCTACATGAAAAAGTCACGCGGGGTGAGGTCGGTCGGGCGCAATGGGCTGGGGCAGGGCAGATTCGGCAAAGCAGATTGGGCAAGCGCGGTAACCAGGGTATAGCCAGGGCAGGTTAAGTTAAGTCCGACCTCACCCCATGTGATTTTTTAATATAGGGGTTTATGAATTCGAAGGTATACGTGACGTGGTCGGCGAGCATTCTGGAGTTGTAACGGGTTAGATCGCCGCCTTTGCAGGGATCACCGTCGATATGCGCAGGGAATATACGCTGGCATACCACGAGCGCCTCAAGAAAGTTACTGAAAACGATGGGGTCACGTCGAGATGCACAACTGAGCTGAACGTGAATGGATTTGTCTGAAAATTGGATGAATATAATCCCCAACATATGCACCTACATTGTGTGAAAATATCTTCCAATTTAATTAAGACTGAAGGAAGTTATTCAAGTTTCAAATCAGGTGTTTTACGTGAGCCACCCTGTGCATTTACCAGTTCTCCTTTTTATAGAAAATTTAAAATTTCAACTTATGATCAAATAATCACAAGTATAAAAAGTAAAAAAAAAGATATGTAAAGATCAACTAACAATAAGTAAGACAACCATGTAAAGGTGCACTTTTGTTACAGGTTAACTACGGACACAGATGATGAAGCGAGGGGCAGAAGACACAGGCGGAGCATACACTGAAAATGATCCTGCTTCATAATGAAACAAAATTCCTAGACCTTCATTGGAAACAAAGACAAGGCTCCAAATGTGAAAATATACACAGCTGAAAAAGATCCGTGCCACTGCCTGTACATACATGGGACCGAACATGGCAGAGAAAAATGAATGCTGGGGAGTCGGGGACCGTTATGTCATGTATTACCATGTGGAATGTCAATGTTAATAGATCGGATTTGCACCATATGAATGTTTTAACAAGATACCACCGGAAACCATTGTTACCATTGAGACCATTGGTAGCCCATAGACCATCAGAAAACATGTCTAATGTTTTTTTATGGCCTAATGGTTTCTTATGGTCTAATGGTTTCTTATGGTATGGTGATCATACCATAAGAAACCATTAGACCATAAGAAACCATTAGGCCATAAGAAACCATTAGACCATTAGACCACTAGCCCATTAGACCATCAGACCATTAGACCATCAGACCATTAGCCCATAAGAAACCATTAGACCATTAGACCATTAGCCCCTCTGACCATCAGACCATCAGACCATTAGACCACTACAAACCATTAGACCATTAGACCATTAGGGTTTCAATTTCCATATAGACCATTAGACCATTAGACCATTGCTAATGGTTTTTTCTCTAGGGTTCCTGGGCCCCTGGTCGACTAGGGGGCCTGTGGTAGCCGGGGCCTGGTCGCATGGGGGCCCCTGATTGCCTGGGGTCCCTAGTCGCCTAGGGGGCCCTGGTAGCCGGGGGGCCTGGTCGCATGGGGGCCTCTGGTCGCATGGGGCCCCTGATCGCCTGGGGCCCCTAGTCGCCAAGGGGGCCTCTGGTAGCGGGGGCCTGATCGCATGGGGGCCCCTGTGTTGTGTATTAGGATGATGTCTCTTGTGACGTCATTTACTCTGCCTGGATTTAGAGAGTGTGCCTCATATGGAGAACCTTGGAAGTTGTTGTTCTTGGCCTTGTGTAGTATGGAAGAAACGTTCTGAGTAAAAAGGAGTCTTTGGAGTCAGCCAAAAGCATGAAGTACAATCGGAAGTAGCAGAATAAGGAAAGTACTGACCACTCGATACACAACAAAATGGCGACAAGGGTAAAATACGCGATTTAAAGTCCCGAAGACGCATGTGTAAGGCGCAGCACGTGTCGCGCCAAAGTTTGTCGCATTTCAAGGTTAAGGGCATATCTCGAGTTGGAAGTGCGCCAGTATTTGTCGATTTGGATATTTTCTGAATTATGGCTGTTAGTCTGCCTCCACCACCAAGTATCAAGGAAGGTGAAAACTTCATGACATGGATCAAATCAGTGGAAATTTACATGGGTGCAATTGATGTGAAAACTGCTTCTCAGAAAGTCAATATTGTTCTGCACCTTCTCGGACCTGATGTTCAAGGTATTATCGATACTTTGCCAGAGGGGGAAGGGACAAATGCATATGAAAAGTTGAAAGATCAGCTGGAGAAGCACTTCAAGCCAAAAGTAAACGCAGTAGTTGAGCGACATCACTTCAACACAATGGTGTACGAAGGCGGAAGAGTGGAAGGATACGTAGCAAAGCTGAAAACTCAAGCTCGGAAGTGTGACTTTGATGTCAATGAAGTGGATAACCTGGTGAGAGATAAGCTGGTTGCAACATGTCCCTCATCCAGAGTAAAGGAGAGCATGCTTAAGGAAGAAAAGCTGACTCTAACCAAAGCCATCTCTATATGGTCGACAGATGCCACTGTTCGAGAGCAAGCTCGGAAGATGGAAGTGTCAGAGGAAGGAGCATCAAGGAAAGATGGGGGGGTGAACAAGGTCAACTGGAAGCAGGCAGAAAGAAAGCCAAAGAAGGATGAAGCTGAGAGAGGGCAGCAAAACCAGATGAAAAATGCAAGAGGTAAGATGATGCAAAGCAGTCAAAGGGAATATGAAAGGAAATGCTTCAGATGTGGCAAAGGTAACCATCTGATAAAAGACTGCAGAGTGCCGAAACATGTCAGATGTAACAACTGTTCAAAGCCGGGTCATCTCCAAGCTGCGTGCAGGAACCCGAGTGCTGAAGAGAGAGTGAGGGTGAACTGTAATGAAGGTGACAAAGTAGAAGATGACGAGGAAGACAACTATTGTGTGTATCAAGCAAGCAGGGAGAAGTCAAAGGCGATCAAGGTGAGCATGTCCGTAAATGGCAAGGATGTGGAATTCCTGGTTGACACAGGATGCCCAGTGACGTTGATGCCAGACAGTGTGCTTCCTGGACTGAGTCTGCGGAAAGCTGGATGTCGTCTGACCTCATATACAGGGCACAAGATCCCTGTGCTGGGTGTCACAGATGCAGAAGTAGTGTACCAAGGAAACCAGAAGGAACTGGAAGTGCATGTGGTGGAAGGAGATGGACCTCCACTACTGGGACGTAACTGGCTGAAAGAAATCAGACTGGACTGGGAACAGCTGGTGGGAAGTATGCAATCTCAGAAGACAATGCGTTGGAAGCTGGAAGATGTTCTGCAGAGGAATGAAGAGCTGTTTGATGGTACGCTGGGTCAGATGAAGAACACTGAAGCTCATCTAGAGCTGAAAGAAGATGCCAAACCAGTGTTCCAGCCACCACGACCTGTGCCATATGGTCTCGCGGACAAAGTGAAGCAAGAGTTGTCAAAATGGGTGGAACTTGGAGTGACAAAAGAACTGACGTCAGAGGATGCAACGCCGAAGTGGGCCACGCCTCTCGTAGTCGTGCCAAAGCCGGACGGATCAGTAAGGCTCTGTGGAGATTTCAAGGTAACGCTGAACCCAAACCTGGAAGTGCCGAAGCACCCGCTGCCGAAGATGGAGGACATTTTTGCAACAGTGGGACAGGTTCGATACATCTCAGTGATTGACCTCTCCCAAGCGTATCTGCAGATGCCCCTCAGCACAGAAAGCCAGGAGTACTGTGTTCTCAACACACCATGGGGGATGCACCGTATGCTGCGACTACCATACGGGGTGAAGTCAAGTCCAATGCTCTTCCAGAGGGAAATGGACAGAATCCTCAAGAATGTGCCTGGAGTGAAGTGTCTGTTGGATGATATGCTCATCACAGGAAGAACTGAAGAAGAAGCACTGAAGCGACTGGACGAAGTGATGCAGATCATGAAGTCACACGGTCTGCGTCTGAAAAAGGAGAAATGTCAGTTTCTGACAAAGGAAGTCCGGTACCTAGGGCTCAGGCTAGGAGCCGAGGGCATCAGAACAGATCCAGAACGTGTGAAAGCCGTGCTGAACGCAAGAGCACCCACCAACCAGAAAGAAGTTCGTGAGTTTCTCGGTGCTGTCACGTTCTACAACCGCTTCCTGAAGAACCTCTCGAAGACAGCAAGGCCGTTGAATGAACTCCTGAAGAAAGACAGCGAATGGAAGTGGACTGCAGAGTGTGAAGCCAGCTTCAACAGCATCAAGAGACAGCTGTCATCAACGGAAGTGCTGCGTCATTTCGACGTGACGGAGCAGGTGACGGTGATCACGGACGCTAGTCCAGAAGGACTAGGCGCCGTACTCGTTCAAGGGAAGGATGAGCGGCCGATCATGTACGTGTCAAGATCGCTGAGTGAACACGAGCGGAAATACTCTCAGATAGAAAGGGAAGGACTCTGTGTAGTCTGGGCATTTCAGCGACTGAAGCAGTTCCTGTACGGGCGCCATTTCAAGCTCGTAACGGACAACAAGCCGCTAGCTCACGTCTTTGGACCTAAGGCGCCGCTGCCGACGTTGGCTGCCTCACGGATCCAGAGATGGGCGATGAAGTTGGCGGAGTACGATTTCTCTGTGGAAGTCAGGAAGTCGGAACAGATTCCAGTAGCTGATTGGCTCTCACGTCTACCGAGAGAAGGCTCAGTGCTGAAGTCAGAAGCACCAGAAGACGAGTGCACTGTCTGTCTGATCGGACAACTGGAGTCGCTAAGTCCGGTGACGGCCGCAGCGATTCAACGAGAGACGGCCAGAAGCCCAATCCTGGCGAAGGTGATGCACTTCGTGCACAACGGCTGGTCAGAAGCCGTAAATGAAGAGCTACAACCATTCAAGATGAGGCAAACCGAACTGACCGTGGAGCGCGGATGTCTAATGTGGGGATGTCGCGTCGTGGTTCCGCCGAACCTGAGATCCAGAGTGCTGAGCGAGCTGCATGCCGGACATCAAGGAATGGTGAAGATGAAGCAGCTCGGAAGGATGCACGTCTGGTGGCCGAACATGGACAAGCAGATCGAGGCGGAAGTCCGGAACTGCGAAGGCTGCTGGCAAAAGCGAGCAGAGCCACCAAGCGGAGATCTCCACCCATGGGAGTATGCCAAGGGACCCTGGCAACGGATACATCTAGATTTCGCTGGTCCTGTGGAAGGTAGATTCTACGTGGTTGTCATCGACAGCTACTCGAAGTGGATGGAAATCGCTCCAATGAAGACCATCACAACAGAGAAGACGATTGAATACCTGCTGAACCTGTTCGCTAGGTGGGGACTGCCTCACCAACTGGTTACGGATAATGGTCCACAACTCGTCAGCAAGGACTTCGAAGGGTTCTTGGAGAGGAACGGAATCAAGCACAGTGTCACAGCGCCGTACAAGCCGTCCACTAACGGAGCTGCGGAAAGAGCAGTGGGTTGTCTGAAGAACCTGCTGAAGGCCTCAAAAGGCAAGAAGGTCAACATCCCGAACTTCCTGATGGCGTACCGCAGTACGCCACAAGCGTCAACAGGACGTACACCGGCGGAGTTGATGCTGGGCAGGCCGCTACGAAACCGCCTGGACCTCCTGAAGCCCAACCTCGCAAGTGAAGTTCGAGAGAAGCAACAGGAACAAGTAGAAAGATCACAGAAGGGAACCGACAGAACGCTCGAAGTCGGCGAATCAGTCCTGGTCCGCGACTACCGAGGTGCACAGAAATGGAGGGAGGGAGACGTCATCGAACGACAAGGCAGTAAACACTACCTAGTCCAAGTGCAAGACGAAGTGTGGCGTCGACACATCGATCAGATTGTCTGTCTGCCAGGTGTCCGACCTCCAGTGACTAATCTGCGGCAGGAGATCAATCCGTCTGAGCACTGCAATCTCCCAGCGCAAGACGCACCAGCGGTGCAGCGGGAACATGGACCGCCACTGCATAGCGCTGTGGAACAGTCGGTAACTTCAACCGGTAACCGCGGGCTCGTGCTGGAGGAAGATGGGATCGCTGCAACACAGTCACCTGAAGCAGCGTCAGCAG